ACAAGTCCATTTTTTCTTATGCAATCCTAGCATCATGCTGATTTCACAAAACAAAAACAAAAAGTATAACAACATGGTGAAGATAACTTAAAAATAATACGTTAGTTCATGCATCACAAATAAGTAAAAGAAGGATATCAGAAAAAACAAGCATATAGTGTCTGGTTGTTGACAGTGCAGTCAAAAATTACTCACATGTTCAGTAGTATCATCAAATTCCCACTGATAGAGATTAAGAAGGTTGGGGAGAAAACAAAATAAGGAAAAATGAAGAGAAATTTGCAGACTTATAAAGGCAGTGCTTCCCTCCTTAGCTTAAAAGAGATAGAAAAAATAAGCAATTGAGGCAGTGTGTATAATAAAATTTCAAGGAGTTCATGTGTTATGCTGTTACCCCCAACCTTAATTGGCAGGTCAAATTAAATATTCTCTGTTATTGTTACCACTAAAACTAGCTAATCGTTCTTTTTTAATGTATGGTTTACTGAAATAAATCTATAAGGCATAGGAAAAAGCTAATGTTTCTAATTATACCCTACTTTGTGACATTTATTTTGACTTCTTTCTTGGGTTACACAATTAATTCAAGTCACTATTTAGGTTAACATCTTTTATTATATTGAAATCTTATAGCCTTAGTGAAGTCCTGTGAGATTTAATAACGTTTCAATGAATAGCCAAGGAGAATGAGATGGGAAAGAAAAAAAAATACAGAAAATCAGAAATTAATAAAGAAAAGCCAAAGTAGAAGAGATGAAAAAAAGATAGAGGTGACATTTAATGCATTTGGTATTACATAACTCCATTAACTACCATATTTCACAATGAAACTAGAGACAGAATTACAGATCTGTAAATATCTAAAATCCAAAGGACAATATCAAAGCATGATAGTTATACTGCTTTCTTTTTCATAATTGCAGACTTACAAAATAAAACATAGCAAAATGGCTTTAATTTTATACTACGAGAACTTTCTATTTTATAGGCAGTGCAAAACAAGCATTTATGAAAATCAAGGTAATGGTCCTTTTCCAGCATCCAAGTGGTACTATCGATCTCCACCTATATTTATAGAAGTGACTTTCAAACCAAAACTATACAATTGGATTTGGGGTAGTGAGCCACGAATCTAGATCCCTAGTGAGAAAGTTATGTTCCGAAGCAAACACAGGAACTTTTGTAAGTTGATTTAATGAAGACTTTGGGGGAAATTTTCCTTAGAGCCATAGAGCTATTTATTGTCCTCCTATTTTCACAGATAAGAACGTAAAACTGGGCAAGCTGGCATAGCAGTTTTCAACTTGGTTCATAATCCTTCCCACTTTCACACAAAGCTAGGCATTTTCATTTGGAAAAATTTCAAATTTTCACAAACTCCACCCTTTGCCCTGCCCAGCCATCAATTTACTGGATAAGCAAAGCACTCCATACTCATAATATCCCCACACCATAATATCCCATCACCATTTGACACAGTAAAGGGAAACTAGTCCATGGATTATGTGGAATTCCTAACATGCCAGTTATAAATTGAAATGTTCCTCTTTCTTTCAGGAAAACACATGGAATATATGTAGATTTATTATGGGACGATCTTTGTAATACCTCTAATTTATGAAAAAACTTGAAAATTTTCAATGCTCTGTTTCAAAGAACTGATAAAACCAAGCTGTGACATCATGGTTGTCATGGTTGTGAACCACTGCCCTAAGAGATCAGTAGAATTTCTCACATACTCAACTACTCACTATTAGTACTTTTTTTCTTGGCTCAACCCAGTTGACCCCATTTATTCTCTGGGAAACTCTAATTTTTATTATCATTATCTTAACTTTGTGGGATGCAAAATAGTTACTTCCATCAAATATGTGACTTGATGAAGCACTAAATGAAATACTATCTGGGTACCTTTCCCTGAATAAAAATGTCTATTCTTCAATGGAGTCATACATTTAGAAATTAAATCAGCTTAGTTCCAAGTAATTTTAACACAGCAGAAAGTAGATCCTATCAGCAAAACTGCAGCTTAGAATTCTTCCCCTTGCTTTGATTAAATCATTCAATTTTTTTGAAGTCGAAAGGCAAACTCAGATATAGTTGTAGAGAGTTGAAGATCTGTATTTTAAGAGAACAGTAACATGTTTTTAATCAGATTTGAGTGTCATTTCATTCCAATTCACTTCCTCACTTATTGTCGACGCTGATTCAAAGGGTAAATACACATCAATGTATTTTAAAAACTAGATTTTTGTACAGGATTTTTGAAATGTCAAAAATCTAAAAATAGGGCCC